ATGGAAACGCAGATGCACTCAGACAATCGAGGGAACAGAGGTGGCAAGAGAAGAAATGTGGTCACTACTGCTGAGCATGGCAGAGATGGAAATCAGGAGCAGGTGGCGGAGAATAGCAAACTCTATGAGACACAGACCAGAAAGACAAGAAACCAAGAAACGGACTTTCATAAGGAACTGGTTGCTAAAAGGCAAGGTGGCCACGATAGTAGACAATAGACTGAGATGGAAGAAATGGCACCAGGCAGAAGCATGATGACCACGAGGATACAGGCCGGGAGACCTGGCAGAAGGTTCTGAATGGTGATCAACAAAAAGAGGACCGCACACACAGGGAAAGACAAGGACAAGCAACAGAACACAGAGCGGACCCCCCCACTGTTCTCGTATTACAGGGACTCATGCGACAGGCTCTAAATAGAAGCCTGAGAGGAACAAATGGTCAGGGCGAGCTGACAGTCAATCCTCCTTAGAAGGAGCAATGAATGCTGATCAGGGGTCCTTCGGCCAGACGGAAGGAAGCATTGAGTGGGTAATATGATGTAATCCGTTTTTGACTTGCCGGGGGAATAGGAACCGGACTGACGCTCCCCAGAATGGATATGGCGCCAGGATCATAAGGACCTGTTTAAAAAAGAAATAAAATAAAATAAAAAGAAAAAAGAAAAAAGAAAAATATGTGGCTGTCAACTCATCGATCAAGCCACTTGACAAAAACTGGAAACGGGTGGGCCTCCTGGTAACCATAGTGCTGCCACTGAAGGTAGTGGTGGTCTCTTAGTAAGACTGGGTCACTGCACTGGCCACTGGGACATCTGTTAGAGACAGTTAAACCATAGTATTGGAACAGTGCGGAGGATATTAGGATGGCTCTTGCGCGATTATGACAGACACGAATCAAGAATTGGTCCAAAATAAGGGGGGGAAGAAGTTCAGAAAAGGTAAATGAACAGAAATGAAGCTAGGGACACTGGCATCGCTGCAGCATCACTGAAGGTTGGCCTAGCAATCACTCTGCTCAGTTCTACCTGATTGATGTTTTCTGTGAACCGTTCCGTGTTTGTCCATTACCATCATTGGATCGATTGATGATCCAGCATGCACGCCCCTGACAATGGATGTGTGTTCTGTGACCAATTTATGTTTGGCGATTCACATTCTTCTGGCTTGTGGTGGAGAAGGAAACGGTTGAGATATTGATTTCGCGCTATACACGAGAAGCTGGTGTGCGTAATCTGGATCGTCATCTGGCGGCGCTTTGCCGTGCAGAAGCAGTGCGTGTGGCAGAGGCACGGACAAGAATGCAGCAGATGGAGAAAGATATTCAGCCTTCTACAGCAGCACTTATGCAGGGAGTGGTTGGGGGTGTGGGTGGCGGAGGGGATATGGAACTGGAAGTGGATGCAGCTGCAATGGCCTCTGGATTACAAGGGAAAAATGCGGCTGCAACAGTGTCGATTTGCATTGAACCGATTGTGGTAGATGAGGCCTTACTTGAGATCGTTCTCGGGGTAAGTGTGTCCCGCCAAATTGTTTCTCTTATCCGTCTGAACGTGGGCCATGATGGAATGAAATTGAAATATTGCCAGTTTGTGGGTTCCATATTTGCTTGGTACCATTTGCAAGTATTCGAGAACAGTTTACAAGTGCATTGAGAAAGAGAGAGAGCGTGGGTAGGTGTGCACATGGGTGGGCGGAAATTGAGAAAGTGTGTGTAGGAGAGAGAGAGAGAGTGAGAGATAGAGTGAGAGAGAGGGAGACGGAGAGAGAGAGAGGGGGAGAGAGAGAGAGAGAGGGAGGACAATCTTTAAAAATAAAAATAAAAAAATGAAACTTTCAGCTCTGGCTCATTATCCATTCTGGGGAGCATCTGTTTGGTTCCTATCCCTCCAGCAAGTCCGATTATTTCAGCCTCCTGATGAGTCGGTGAAACTCCGACGAAACAGTTTGTCACAGCCCCTCGTTTGTTGTGCTCTTCTCCCTCTCTGCCGACGGTTTACCGGGCAGTTCTGTTTGACGATATAGGTGAAACTCCGACGAAACAGTTTGTCACAGCCCCTCGTTTGTTGTCCTCTTCTCCCTCTCTGCCTATGGTTTACTGGGCAGTTCTATTTGACGATATATATAATATTATGATGAGTCGGTGAAACTCCGACGAAACAGTTTGTCACAGCCCCTCGTTTGTTGTCCTCTTCTCCCTCTCTGCCTACGGTTTACCGGGCAGTTCTATTTGACGATATATATGACGATATATATATCGTTATATATCGTCAAGTAGAACTGCCCGGTAAACCGTAGGCAGAGAGGGAAAAGAGGACAACAAACGAGGTGCTGTGACAAACTGTTTCGTCGGAGTTTCACCGACTTATATATATATGATGATATATATATATATGAAAATGAGAATAAAAAATGAAGAAGGAAGTGCAGGTGCGCTGAAAAATGGACGTGGTAGACTCTTCACCAAAACTGCAAAACTGTGAAAGAAAGAAGAATGCAGTAAAAGAAAGAAGATGTTTGTGTCACCCTTATTTTATTTTTATTTTTTTCTCCCTCTGCCTATCGATTTTCCTTTTCTGCTCCTCTCTCCCTTGTGTTTGACACCTCTTCCTTCACTCTGCCTCTTTCCCATAGCGTGCAAGTGAGCTGTTATG